GGGTGATCCTGCCCTGCTGAGCCTACAGAGCAGCTACAGCACCAGGTTCTTGGGGTCTTCGTGTGGCCCTCAGCTTCCTCAGGTGTTCCCACATTTCACGGGGTGTTCAAGGCTAGGAGAGGCTTTGACTCGCCATCCTTTCGAGTCACCTCTCCAGCTGACTAGTCCCCCTCCTCCAGCAGGACAAGCAGGACCTTGGGGGCCCCAGGAGGTCAAGCAAAGGCAGAGGGATGGCAAAGCTCTACCAGAGCCAGTGCTGCGTGCAGGGGGGCAGGGGGGGGTGCTGGGGCCCCGTGTGAGGGGGCTGGGGTCCCACGGGTGACACCCTTCTCACTGAGGTTCTGCAGGACCCGGTCCCGCTCCAGCTGCGTGTCCCGAATCTTGTTCTGCAGCAGGATCAGCTTCTCCTCGTACTGGTGCTTGAGGGTCTGCAGGCGCCTCTGGCTGTTCTCCAGCTCATCAATCAGCTTCTGCTTGATCTCTATCTCACAGGTCAGATCCGCCAGGTCCGCCTGGAAATTCACGGCTGGAGGCCGGAGGGGGACGGTCAGGCTGGGAGGGATGGAGAAGGTCGCTCCCATGACCCCACAGCACGAGGAGAGGGCAGAGGAAGACCACAAAGAGTGTTGGAGGTTCCCTGCAGCAGCCCTGGTGTTTTTCCAAGCCTCCCAGAGGACTCTCCGTTCCCAGGACCAGAGCTCGGTGCCAGGAGACACCAGCAAATGCTCCCCAGTGCTGGGGCTGGCTCCACACTTTACCCTTCTCCTCTGCATCCGAGTCCGAGTCCACCAGGCTCTCTTCACTGCCTGAGTCCTCATCTTCATCCTCACGTCCATCCTCTTCCTCACAGCCACTCTCGTCCTGTTCCTCCTCCTCCTCCTCCTACAAGAGGAACACCCCACCTCAGCTTGCAGCACCCTTCTCTCTGCAGCTCCTCCTTCCTCCAGACCTGAGCTCACCTCACAGCAATGGGCTGCAGCCTCCACAAAGGGACTCAGCCTCCCACACAGGATGCCCGGGAGCTGCAGCACCATTTCTGGACCCCCACTGTTGAGAGGAGCAGTTCTGTGCCCCATCCATCCTCGCCCCCATCCCCTCCCAGCTGAGCATCACCCAACTCCCCTTCACCTTGGTTTTGGAACCAAGCCCAAAAAGCTGTGGGCTCCTTGCTCCACATGTGGGCTGACCACTTCTCCCGGGTGGGGTCCTCAGCTCCATCACCCCTCCAGCCTGCTTGCAGGGCCAGGCTGAGCTTGGCTCCTCTCCCAGCTGGGGCAACGACAATCCCCCAGACCCAAACCCCCTCCTCAGCAGGAGGGTGACACCTCCTCACCTCTTCCACCTCATTCTCATCCGTCTCCTCCCCGTTGTCCTGCTGCAGTTTCTGACGCTTCTTAAATGCTTCTTTCTCTGGGCTGGGGGAGAGCAGAGGGGTGCTGGTGAGTCCCAGGGATGGGTCCTGCCCCCCACCTTCTGCTGCTTTGGGGAGAAGGGCCTCTGGGATCGCATGGTGGGTGAACAGGAGCCCAAACTCATGGCAGCACCGGGAAGGGACCCCGGGTGGCCGGGCTCTGTCTGGGTGCTCTGGCTCAGCACAGATGAGGGGGGCAGGACTCCTGAGCCCACAGACAGGGCCTGACAAGGAGCCTCCCCCTCCCAACACTGCCCAGGACCTGCCTTCACCTTTTCCTCTGCTGCCTCCTCTCCTTCTTCTTCAGGCGCTCCAGGTCCTGCTTGGCCCGCCGGAGGACGTCGGAGGCCTCTGTGTCCACGGGGGCCACGGGGCTGCACAGCCCCACCAGGGCAGCAGCTGGGGATGAGCCCCCTGGGAAGGGGGCCCGGGCAGAGACACGGGAGAGGCTGCGGCGCAGGGACTCGTTCATGGACTCGCTCTCCAGCAGCTTCGTCCTGGGGAGGAGGGATGGGACGTGGGCAAGGAGGAGACGTCTCCTGGCAGAGGGGGTCTTGC